CTTAGTGGTGACGCGTTGAGCGATGTGGACGAAGTCCAAGAGGGATCATTTCTTTATGAGGGTGAACCCTACGCGCGAGAGGGGGTCCCCATCCCCCCGAGTTCCATACTCAGATTCCGAGTGGAGCGAGGCGACTTTCCTCACTCGCCCTTTCTCTTTAAGAGCCAGATTGGTCATGGTCGAGGGTGGGACTTATGGACGGACGCTATCTTAAGTGACGCCGAGTTTACCAGAATCTTGAAGAGTTCGAAAATAACGGACGCCATTCGCAACACACGCAAATTGTCAATTGGTCGAGATTGCTTAGGCTTCGCGCTTTTTTTATCTCGATGGAGCAGGGACACCCATACTTTTTTTACCGCTTGGGGGGAGTTTACCCCTACCCTCGAGGATGTGGTATAACTCATGTGTCTGAACTTGTTTGGGGAGACCGATCCAAGCACTTGGGTTCTTTCTAAGATCAAGGTCAAGAGCATCATCGAGCTTCGAAGTGCTGTTACTTTGGCTGGCAAGCTCACCACGCGCTATCAAAAGAGCTGTGTTTAGGAAGACTTTCCTGAAACAGGAAACAAGTGTACCTTTGTTTCTCTCCTACGCTACTATTTCTGGGATTTCCCACCTTGGGAAATGGAGGGCGAGGAGGCCTTCAACGGCCCAAAGTGCCTGGACCAGCTTCGTCTTGCTGGCTTCTTATTGACTTGGCTCTCTCATTTTATCTTCCCAGGTCCTCCTGATGATGACCCCAGCCCTGACCTTGCTCCTCTAGCCATCAAAATTTCTGAGGGTCACAGTCTTCCCTTAGCTGCAATGTTCTTGGGGTCCCTCTATCATGAGCTCGACCTCGTCCATACCCACATGGAGCGTTCTATTGGCCGAATGAGTGTGGTGTCTCCAATCAACACCATCTTTCTTCAGATGTTCCTTTACAAGCACTTCCTAGGGTATGCCTCTTGGCCCACTACGCTTCCTCGTGACAGCGGCTTGAAGAGGTCCTATCAATGGCACAAGCACAATCCAAAAAAGAAACTCGCTGAGTATATTGATAGGGAAAAGTGCTTCATAGCTCGTCCCTACAGCCAAGGTCTTCGCCTGGATCATTGGGCCCCAAAGGATGGCGAGGTCATCTCAGGTAAAGCTTTGAAGCGCAATCCTGCCTTAACCATTCTTGCCATGTCCTTAGGAGGCTATCTCCCCGCTCTCCTTCCTCCAAGCTCGAGAGTGGGTAAGGTCTACAACCCCCATCGGGTGGCTCGTCAATTCGGTTGGGATCAGGGACTTGCTCGAGACTATGGTTACAGTGCTCATTAGGATCATAATACTTACAGGTTGGGCTTCACTCGCTTCCTAGATTCAGGGGGGGGGGAGCTCGTAGGGGCTCGACGTATTCTTTGCTTCTCTCCTCCCTTGATAGTGGGGCAATGGGGTGCGAAGACGAGTGCTTACTGGTAGGAGATAGTTAGTGCCTTCAATCGATTTGTTTGTGGCGAGCCAGTGCCCGTCCATGCCCCTCCTTTGCTGAGAGGAGATGCTTCCTTTCGTGCATACAAGAAGGGTCTAGGCAAGGCATGCAATACAACTAACCTTTGTCCCTTGGTCCTGATGGATACTCGTGCACCGGTTATAGCCCTTCGAGCTACAAAGTCTCATCGTACCAAACGTAAGGCTGACCAGGATGTTATCACCTTCGTGCCTGCTATCACTCCATCTTCTTCTTCCAAGCGAGCTAAAATAAGCTACCTCGACATGGTTTGATCTAAATTCTCTGTTAACCGATCTTAACACCACTTTCTTCTTATCTTCAGGGCTCTTCTCGTGATGCCGTTGTTGCCAAGGCCTTAATTCCTGAAGGGCTCCCTCGCCCACTGGCTCGAGCTGGGGCATCTTCTGGCACGAGGTCCAGCTCTTTACCTCTTGAGGAGGACCCTGGTAGGGGCGCTCAAGTCAGTGGCAGTGTCTATACTTCTTCTGTGACTCCCAGTTTAGACGTGCCTCAAGATCCTCTTCACACTCTCACTAGTGTTCTTGAAGACCCCGACCGGGCCGTGAGGGACGTACTTTCCCCTGACCTAAACCCCCCTACTCACTCGCGGCATAGGGTGGGGAAAGAACTTATTCCCCTGGCTCGAGGCATAGGGAGGTTTGACGAGGAAACCGGTAGAGTAAATACTGCCGCGGACCCTGCTATGGGTGTGATCGAGATCGAGCAGAGCTCTAGTCACTCGCCCTCAGATAAAGGTAACCTCCTCGCGTTAATGCTTTATTAGATATATATAAATTTGCAATTCTAACAACGGCCTCTTGCAGATACCGAAACGATCGATGTTCGATAGATTAGGGGCGAGGTTGTGAGTCGCCGCGAGGGTCATGCTAGCGAGGGTAGTGACGAGGATGGTTTAAACACGGTGGTTCAAGAGCCTCTTCATGAGCCATTCGAGGAGTTAAGGGACATGGTTGAGAAGGCAATCGAAGCTCTTCCTGCTCCTGAGGAAAGTAACTCAGGAGGGACAAAGAGCTCAGGTTCAACGGGATCGTCCGGGGGTGAATCCTCTAGATGAAGTGGTTCTAAGGATGACAATGAGCAAGTCGAGGGGGAGAAGGAAACGTCCCAGGACCGAACTATCACAGCGATTGAGGATACTGGGGTTGGCTCAACTTGTCTCACGAGAACAGTTGAAGGGGGAGCTGCCGCGACATGATCGAGGCAAGAATCCATCGTTACCCCTTTGGGGTGAGGAGAGGCTGTCCCTCCAAGCATCCGTTGGGAGGGGGCCGAACTTGCAGCGGGGGAGGTGGAGATTCTGCGCGAGGTGAAAACCATGCACCTGCAAACTTTTGGGAACCTTAACGGAGCCATACCATTGTTCCTAGTCTTTGTGTACAGGGCTTTGGCCGAATTGGTGACTATCCTTCGTGAGGCCAAGGGAAGGCGTTTGCACACGAAGGAGCTCGAATCTGTGGATCTTTTACTCGCAAATTTAAAGAGAGCACAGGTCGAGGTAGGGTGGGCTGATGATATTGTCACTCGGATCAGGGGCCTCGAGACACGAGAAACCATGCTTGAGGAAATTAAGGACTTGCGTGATCAGATAGAGGATGAGAAACAAGTTCTTCATGCTGAACAAGCTTGCCTGGCCGAGCTGCAAGAACAGGTGCAGGCGAGGGAACAACACATCGCCTCGCTGGACCTGGAGATTAAGCACAGGCTCGCGTTACTTGGCCTGGCTACCTTGAACTTAGGCGATCTCCCTTAGATAAAATGTTTAGATTATTGCTTGTGTTATTGTTATTGTTATTATTTTTTTGTTCTACCATTCCCGTGTAAGCATGACAATTTTGAGATTATAAATGGAACAAAGTTTCTTTTACCTATTTATAAATATTGATGCGTTGATTGTGATGCCGTGGCTAGGGTAATTATTTTGTGGTGTAGTATGTCAGTAGTTTAAACTTCAACCAGAAACTAAAGAAAAAACAATCAATGAGCAATGGGGGAAGTATGGACTCCCTTGGGCCCCTTTTTGACACCATTGTATGTTTGGTCAGGCATAAGGGAAGTATGGACTCCCTCGGGCCCCTCCATTTTAATAATTGTCAAAAGTATGACTCAAATTCATCATTCGGGAAGTATGGACTCCCTTGGGCCACACAAGATCCCATGCTTACATATATATATTGTTACAAAAGAGCGAGGGCACAGTTGCAACCCTCGTTTGGCGTCATTTGTCATGCATAGTATTTCTTCAACCACTTAGCATTGAATAAGCCTAAGGTTTTGTTGCTGCCGACCTCGCCGATCTCGTAGTACCCACTGCCACTCGCAGTCCTAATCTCGAAAAGGCCTTCCCATTTCGGGGTAAACTTTAGCGCTGATTGATTTCACATTATGTACGTCACTGTTCTTAGCACCAGCTCGCCTTTTTGGAATGCTCTGGGTCAGACAGTAGCATTGTAAGCCCGGGCGACCCTCTGCTGGTAGATCTTCAACTTTCCTTTGGCACGGTCCCGTTGCTCTTGTAGTCCCTCGAGCTCACCGAGCCTAAGATCGGAATGAGACTGGCTCCGTTCAATGGTACTACTATCTCAATGGGGAGGATTGCTTCCGTGCTGTACACCAGGGAAAATGGTGTGGCGCTCGTGGCCCCTCTTACAGTGGTTCAATAAGCCCAAAGTGCGAGCGGCAGTTGTTCTGCCCATTTACCATGCTGCTCTTTTAGAGTTCTGCTTAGGATTCTTAGTAGAGTTTTGTTGGTAGCTTCCGCTTGTCCATTGCCCTTGGGATAGTAGGGTGTTGACTTATGGTGGGTGACATGGTATTGCTGAAGGAGTTCCTGAACTTTGCTGTTGACGAAAGGAGTTCCATTATCGGATAGTATCACTCGAGGTATGCCAAAGTGGCAAATGATGTTTTCCTTAATGAAATTAGCTACAACTTATCCTGTTGTCGTTGAGAGGGCCGCCGCCTCTACCCATATAGTGCAGACCTCTGTTGCCACTAAAATCCATTTTTTCTTTCTTGAGTGCGGGGAAATTGGGCCTATTAGGTCCATCGCCCAGGTGTAAAAGGGTCAGGGAGGGCTCAGGGGGTGTAACTCGACCGCGAGTGCATGGATTACATGATTGTGAAATTGACATTCTCGGCACCTCTGCACATACCATCTGCTATCCTCCTGTATGGTAGGCCAATAGTAGCCTATCTAGATAATCTGGTTGTACAGCTTTCTCCATCCCTGGTGCTTATCTCCGTGAGTATGCTTAAGTACTTCCTGTACGTCGGAGGTACTGATACAGTGCTTGGCATTCCCGTCGAAGCCTCTCCTCATCAATTCTCCGCTGCTGATGAAGAAACGACGTGCGTCCCTTTTTAATGTGGCAGCGTCCTCGCAGTCCTGTGGGAGCAGGTGTAACTTAAGATAATCCAAATATTTTTGCCTCCAATCCTCGCTCACACAGGCGACACTCTGTAGTCTGTCGAGATCCTCTCTACACCTCTGGCATTCCTTCTAGATGGTGTTCGCCTCTTTTGCCATGGATGGCCAGAAATACCCCTGCCTCTGTATTCTCCTGTATAAACTCAACGAATCGTTGCCACAAGTTTGCGCGTGAATAGTGTGCAGGACGCGTGCAGCCTCTTCAGTTCCAACGCACCTTGTCAGAATGCCCCCGGGCACTCTATAGTATAATATCCCCAAGTAAAGTGTATAATCTTTTAACTCGGACAACGGGATTTTTCCTTTGCCGTCCCTCAGGTGTGATTCAAAAGAATCTCTCCAATCTTCTTCCTTCCTGTCACTGGTGAATTCGTCATTGTGCAAACAAGATGCTTCTTTCTTTTGAATTCTTATGTCTACTGATTCCACTACTATTGCAACTTTAGAAGCTAGGGTGGCCAAGGCGTTTGGATGCCGGTTGGCCGTGCGGGGCACGTGAGTCACGCGCAGCTCATCAAAGTGGCCGCTAAGTTTCTGTATGATGGTTTTGTAAGCTGCCAACGACGGCTCCTTAATAGTGTACGAGCCATCCAACTGCTTTACCACTAGGTTGGAATCTCCTTACACGTGTAGGCGTTTGACCTTTGCTTCTCGGGCTGCTAGCAATCCTAGGACTAAGGCTTCATACTCCGCCATATTATTAGAATACCCGAAGGTCAACTTGTACGAAAAGTTTTGAGCCTCTCCCTCTTCTGGGGTTAGCACTATTCCGACACCTTCTCCTCACGCCGTCGACGATCCGTCAAACGAAAGTGTCCAAATTGCATCCTTGGCAGCGCAACATGCCGCCTCAAGGTCTTCGTAGGGTAAGTCAGTCTGCACGGTTCGTATTCTCCCGACGGGAACTGGGCCAACAGATCTGCTAATGTTTGGCTCAGTATAGCGCGGGGCGCAGAGCATTGTATGTCGAACTCGGCAAAAGTCAGCAGCCACCGCGCCACTCGTTCCGACATGACAGGCCGCGAGAGCAGGTACCTCAGGGGATTGCACCTCGTGATAAGGTGGATAGTATAAGCGAGAAAGTAGTGACGAAACTTCTTTACTGCAAAAGCTAAGGACAAACAGTGGCGCTCGATCGGCGAGTAACGCGCTTCTGCGCCTTGAATAGCTTGGCTAATGTAATAGACAGGGCATTCTCGCCCTTCTTTCTTTTGGGCGAGCAGCGCCCCGATGGAATGTTCAGTGGAGGTGATGTACAACCTAAGTGGGATACCCTGCTAAGGGGCAACCATAGTGATTGGTGAAGATAACAGATTTTTAATTCTTATGAAGGCTTGTTGATACTTCTCGCCCCACCTGAACTCGGGACTTCCTTTCAGCAACGAGCCAAAGGCGTGTGTTACTTCAGCCAAGGCTGGGATGAAGCGTCGGAGATAAGAAATCCGGCCTATTAAACTCTTTAGCTGCTTCAGAGTGCGAGGGGGGCATTTCCTGTATAGCCCGTACCTTATCGAGATCGACATTGATGCCCTGTCGATGTACAACAAAACCCAGGAACCGGCCGGCCTCAACTCCAAAGGTACACTTCAAAGGATTCATCTTCAGCTTGTACTTGCGGCAATGCTCAAAAACTTTCCTCAGGTCTACCAGATGTTCCTCTTTCCTTCGGGATTTTACTACCAGGTCATCCACATAGTCTTCTACATTCCTGTGCAGCATGTCGTGGAAAATAGCCGTCATAGCCCATTGGTAAGTTGCCCCAGCATTCTTCAAGCCAAATGGCATGACGATATAGTAAAAATTCCCCAATGGGGTTCGAAAGGCCGTCTTTTCTACATCACATGGCGTCATCTTGATCTGATTATACCCACTATATCCATCCATGAATGAGAACATTTCGTGCCCAGAAGTCGAGTCAACCAGACTGTCGATTATAGGTAAGGGGAAGTCATCCTTGGGGCACGCCTTGTTCAGATCTCTAAAGTCGACACAAACCCGGATTTTTTCGTTCTTTTTCTTCACAGGAACAATGTTTGCCAACCAGGTAGGGTGTTGAATAGGCTTGATGAAACCAGCTTGCAAGAGCCGCTGGACCTTCTCCTTGATCTGTAATTCGAGTTCTGGGCAGAAGTTCCTCTGTGCTTGTTTGACTGGTCTCGTTCCCAGTTGTATGTTGAGGTGGTGAGCAACAATCTGGGGGTCCAGCCCAGGCATCTCATCGTATGTCCATGTGAATACATCGCTGAATTCCTTTAGCACTTCTATCAATGCTGTCTTCTCCTCCGCTGGTAACCCTTTGTTTACGTAAGTTTTACGAGGCCGGTCATCTGTAGCTAAATCAACTTCCTCGAGCTCTTCCTGGTCAGACCGACCCAATCTGGCCGGCTCTGTTTCGACTTTTTCGTCACAATCCCCGTCATGTGCTTCACATGCTTATTCGCCGGGGCGTGGAATTGCCCGAGGCCGTGCCCTCTTACATCGTCATAAACGGTAAGCGATTCTTCCGTCGGATAGATGCACTCTCTTACACACGACTTTTCGACGCTGGTCAATTCCAGCCTTTGGTTCTTCTTTTTGTGTCGGGATTCCCTCTTGTAGTGGTCGATCGAGCTCATCCTATCTCGGCAGAGGGGCAACCATCAAGGGATGGGGCTCGTCTAAGTCCTCAAATTCTTCAAAGAAACTAGCCTCCACCATATGAGACTCTCTCCTGGCAAATGGACGCTCGGAACAGCGGACTGTGACTTGCTTTCCGTTCCAGAATCCCTTCATGCACTGGTGATATGAGGAGGGTACTATTCCGAACTTGTGCATCCAATTTCGGCCTATGAGGAGGTGGTAGGAAGTATCGGAATCAATAACGTGGAATTTAGTAGAGTTTCTGAACTTCCCGATGACCAACTCGGCCGTCACGTGTCATTCTGTTCTCCGGATGTCACTACCGAATCCTGCAATTTCGGTCGGCTTTCTAACGAGCTTTTCAGATGGTAACCCGCTCCGACGGTAGACCTCCAGGGGCATTATGTTGAGAGAGGAACCATTATCCAAAAATGCCCTGTTTGAGCTCTACTCCGTTGAGTGAAGCCGTGACATACAGAGGTCGATTGTGAGGAGTGGGCACGTACTTGTCTTCCTCGGTGAAAACTATGGCCGCTCCGGCTGACCCCTAGCTTATTGGAACTGGTGCAATCTGCGCTGCCTCTTTTAGCCCCTCTCTCTCGGCGAGCCAAAGAGTCTTAGCGATCTCTTTTTGGGCGAGGGGAGAGAAATTCATCTTTTGGAGGATGCTCCTGATAGGTGTTGTCCTTAATAGGCGAAACGCGCCCAGGTCTTCCTCTTCGACTAGTGCAACCTGAGCAATATCTCCTGAAGTGAGCTCCTCACTATCTACCCCCCTAGTCGCCATCATCGTTGCTCCTCTATCGTGAGTGGGGAAAGGCTCTTCCCTCACGTCTCATGGGGGCAGGATGAGCTCGCCACTAGCGATTCGTCACTATAAGGTGTTCCATAGAGCCCAGCAGTCAAAGGTGGGATGGCGAGTGTGCCGATGATACATACAGAATCGAGGGTTAGCTAAGTCTTCTGGGGTCGGCTCGTGTGCTGTGATACCCCTCGGATCCGAGACACGGGTTGATCAGGCCCAGGCCCAAACCCGAGGGAAATATCAAACAATTAATATGTAACCGAACACAGAATACAAGATAAAATAAGAAATAAAAATAATAAGCTGGAAGAGTGCTAACTGAAAATCCTTAAGATATAAATATTGAAATCCAAAAGTTTACAACTCGGGAATCCATCCATTGGACCCCTTATTGAAATTCTCCAAAAAATACAAAAATAATAAAAATAAAATCCAAAGCTAACATAGAGAAGGTTCCTACATAATCGGAGGAATGAATAGCTGTATCTACTCTGCACGTCCAAGCTCTAACCCTGGAACTGACGAACACCTGAAAAATAAAGAAGTGGGTCAGGCCCACATGCAAGTCCTGATCTACTACAATCCAAACAGTAATCTGATACGCAGATACATCCTAGGAAGACTCAACAATATCTAGAGTAGTCCATATAAGTATATAGTACACACTATAGGACGCTCGCTAGTCCAGTAGGTTTGTCTCAGCCTGAATAGAAGGCAATATGCAAATACGCACCCTAAGGTGGGCATGAGTACCTAGACCAACCAGGGAACAACACCTATGTCCAGTTATCCATCCTAGGCGATATACGCGCCCTAACCATGGTCATGAGACTCAAGATCATACCACAGCACCATATAATATATATATAAAGTCCGTACTCCTCCTAATACAGTATACCATCCATTTGTGTAGTGGTCTGATATATGTACAACAAATCTATCCTGAAATCCTAGTAGGTCATTCAATTCACAACTGATATGACACATGTAGATGATGGACTTAACCTTTATGATTAATCCATACCTTGATCCAAATTAGGTAGGACTTAATGTTGGAATTAGTCCATACCTAGTATGTCACCGTCCCATACCGGTACATACCATCCTCCAGTTAACAGAGTTGATAAAACAGTACTAGATAGTCATCAACCCAACTCCCAAATTATGCACAAACCAAATTAATCCATAATTATAAAACTTAGGCATTCAGTCTAGGCCTAGAAATTATATTCCAACCATTAAATTTGTTATTTATAACACATAGCATTTATAGCATGCATCAAATTCACTAATTGATAAAATTAACTGAACTGTTATATCAATTACTTCCAACCAAACATAGATAATTCCAAGAATTTTACTATGCTTATAAAACTTTCTAAACATAATTAAAACAGTAATAAATAAAAATCCCAATTCCAGTCCGTTAATTGACAAAACAAAAGCATGCAATTTATTTCTCCAAACAGTGCCATAACTGGTGCAATTTATATCCAGTTTCAATCATCAGTTAATTCCATCCATATCTACATCTAATTATACTACTATATGCTTAAACCATAATAAAAACATAACTAGCAGTTTAAGATTATACAGAGAAATCAAAATTTCAAAAATAATAGACAAAAGAAAATTAATTCTTCAATCATCCTCCTACGATTCTCTGTTTAAACTAAAGTTAATTCCATCCTCCATACCTATTTGTAACCATGCTTCCCAACAATTTTATAAGTCTTTGGCAATGATTTACACTCTCCAGTAGCTTTTAAATGATTTTAGAAAACCAATTTTCAGCCCAAACGGACCTTAAAAATCAACATTCTGGCCAATTAAAGAGGGAGCAGGCTCTAGAAAAAAGTAGAGCCTGCTCTTCCCATCTAGAGCCGGCTCTCGCCTTACTAGAGCCTCTTCTTCCTCCCTTAGCAGCCTTCTGTCCGTTTAAACTTCGTCTTCTCTGATTCCCGTGAGTACCAATCCTCTTTGGATCCGAGGGGTATCGCATATGCTACCTCGGGTAGTTTGATGTCTCCATGCTATATCCATTTTTTTAGAATGGCCTCGACCTCTTCCATCGTGCATGGAAAAGGAGGCGGGATTTCTTCTGGGTTTCTCCCTCGGGGAGGACGACCCACTCCTGCACCCCTTTTGCTAGCGGGTGTATCAGCCGCTGAAACCAGAGGCCTGCGCTTGCTTCGGTGATCATCTTGTGCCGAGAGTTGGGCGTTGACAGTAAGATTTCCAGCTAGATTGCGAGATGCCTCAATTAAATCTG